CTTTATGCTCATCTTGGTTGGTTATTGTAATCTTATGTTCTTATTTGTTGTTCTTTCAAATGTTGATATCTCCATCACCCTAAATGGTCTAGGGGTGGAATTAGGGACACTAAAGTATTGAGTTGGGGAGTAGACTCAAAATATTTTGGAAGCAAAGCCTCCCTTGCGCGGTTGGGGTTTGAGGTGTAAATGATACTAGACAACTTGTGAGCTATGCGAGATTAATTGATCAAAACTCGGTCAACACTTGAATAGGCTTGGCTTGAACTTGAGTTTGACTTGACATATTAACGAGTTGAGTCAAATTACTTAATATTCGACTTAAAAAACTCGTGAGATATTCAATTATTTTATATAAAATTACTTTTAAAATACAATCAGTTTTTATGAAAAAATTTGTAAAATATAAATAATAAAAATGTATCATATTTTTAGATATTTAAACAAAATTATGTATTTTTTAATTATAAAAAATAATCAGTTACTTTTTATTAAACTCTGAAAAGTGTTAGTGAAATTATTCTAAATTGAAAGAGAGATGGTAAAGAAAAAAAGAAAATATGTTATAAAAAAAGTGGAAGGTGAATGAAATTTTAATTGTATTTTTGATGATGAAGTTTTGAAGTTGATCTTTTTAGTTTTATAAAAACTAAGAGAACATTTTTATGTTTTAAAATGTATAAAAAAGACCCTCAAATTTCATAAATTTCAATAGATGAACTTGGTTCGAGCTTGATTCGTGTTCGAGTTTGATTTGAGTTGTAGTTTGAGCTTGAGAAATATTTATTGAGTTCAAGTCAAGCTTTGATTTTTACTACTCGCGAGTTCTCGAGTTGAGTTCGAGTTTGGAAATTGGTTTTTGGAGTTCGAGTCAAGTATGGTGATAATCGAGCACGACTAGCATCTTTTGCACTCGTAGTTGGGGTGGAGACTCAAAACTTTTACGGATTTTAATTTTTAGTTTTGGGTGATTTGAACAATTTCTGAAGGTTGGAAACTTAACTTTTTTGAAATGACGGTGAAATTTAGTGACATCTCTAAGTAAAGTTTAGAAGTACATATTTACTTCATCCTTCTGCCTAGAGCTACGAATCTGGACTTAATTTTTAACCGACATGGGTTTGAGCATTTGGTCTATATGTTCAAAGCCTTTAGACCTCTTATGACGTGTTTGATTCAGACTCAGTCTCTAAGTCAGTTATAGCTAGGGATGTTCATGGGTTGGGTTGATCGGGTTGAAAATATTTAAACAGCCCAACCTAATGTTTGCGGTTTGGAAAATCTTAATTCAATCCAACCCGAACCAAAATGCAACCCAACCTAATCCGTATAGGTTAGTCGGGTTGATACTTTGGTACGTTAAATATTATTCTAACATAGAATATGTTATTTTTCTACTCATAATTTTTTTCATCATCAACCATTTGATACAATTTATTCATACTTCTTACATCATATATCACATTCAGTTAATTTTCTTAATTTACATATATATGTTCACAGTTACTGAACATATATACAAATGAGTTATATAAAGATGTGAATAGATTGAAAAATATGTGTATATGAAGAGCATACATGATAGTGTAATTGTCTAATGTATATATTAATAGAAATTCAACAATCATATTAAATCCAAAAAATAAAAGGATATCGGGTTCATCAGGTTGGGTTGAGTTCAAATAATAGTAACCTAATATTAACCCAATACCTACGCTTAGAAAATTTTACAATTCGATTAGACATCTGGTTGTTTCGGTTTGAGTTATTTCATGTTGGGTTGATTGGGTAAATGAGCACCCCTAGTTATAACTGTTTCCTCTAACTTTACAGTTAATGATTTGAAGTCTTGTGCAATTATGTTTTAACCGTTTATGGAAGTTCTTGATGGCACTCAAGGTTATCCTGGTCCCATGTACAAAAGTTTTAATAATTATGAAAAAGTCATTGCAGCTGCTGGAGATAGATTAGGAAATAACTTTTTCGTTTCTCCATTTCTTAAAAATTATACTGAACCTACTCTAGATTTTTAAGTTACTAAAGATACCAGCCATACTCATACCTAGTTTTGTGATCATTGTGAAACCCTTACAAAAAATTTCAAAATCATCAATGATGACAATACACAACTTAGAAACAATAAACTTGCGCTCCAAAAACAAGTTTCTATGTTAGAAACTAGAAAGACAATTAATTTCTTTTTCCCTTAACCAAAACAAAGACTCATATTCTAGCCATATTCAGAATATTAAGATGGGTGGACATTCTCCAACGAATGTCAATAAAGGTACCATTGAGCCTAGGAATACAGTGGCTTGTCCAGCTTTACCAGTATCTGGTAAAGACTCGTCAAATCTGGAGAAGTATCTCAAGAGACACAGAGGACTCTTGATTCCTCCACCATTAACCAATCTAAGAACTCTCGTAATACAAAAATCTGGGATCTCTTGAGGAACCTGGAAAACACTTTGACTTCCTTGTCAAATACAACCCTTCTCCCTCAAACCAAGACCCTTTACCCTCTGGACTCTATCCAAATCTGCCATGCCATACTAGACCAGATAGAGAAAAACTAAGAACAAACCCAATTCTCACCAAAAAAGAAAAAATCCAAAAAGAAAAGGTTGAAAAGATCAAAGACTAAGATTAAAGATGTGATTAATAAAATAATTTAAGAAGTGATCAAAGACTTTGTTCCAAAAATTACTCAAGACAAGAATTCAGAAGATACGGTTTTTGAAGATCGATCAAGTTTACCAAACCAAGACCAAGACGGTTATTATTTAGAAGGTGACCATTCTTTCGACTTTGTAGACGTAATCTCAATACTTAAAAATATAGCAACAAGGCAGAAGACACAAATTTTCCTTTCAAAGAAGATTCGTGTTAGACTTTTGCAGACAGTTCCTCCACGTAGCAGACTTTTAAACACGTAGCTGATACGTGTCATCCTATACAGATTTTTTTAGACACCTCTTGCTTGGAGCCTCCTATATAAAGAGGTCTCCAACATCATGTTTGAAGACAACTATTCATCAAGACAACCTTCACCAACAACACTTCTACACACACACACACACACACTACACCAAATTCTCTCTATCACCATTCTCTCAAAACCTCCATTGACTTTTCAAAGAAAGAATCATCACTTTGGTAGCATAAAGTGTTTCTTTAAGTAACTTTTCTTTCTCTTAATCTTTGTATTAGTCCCTAAGTGGCTTCCCGAAAGAGAAATCCTTATGGTTTTCTTAATCTTTGCTAAGAGATATATGGTTTTGAGTTCTGAAGAAAACATTGCTACAATTTTGAAAAAACTCGTTGTTACCAAATTTAAGACGTTCTTCGTAGTAAGGTCTGTTCTGGTTATTTAAAGTCTGACTAAAATCTGGTTTTGCTGCATAATTATTTCTCGGAGGTAACCCCGGTCTTGGAGGGGGTCTGGACATCTACAAAAAATAAAGAACAAATTAATTTAATTTTTTTTCTAATAATCTGCTTAAAATATCTGCAGCTTTATTATCACTATCTTTAATGTGCTTAATTTCTACAATTAAATCAATATTGCTAATTCGATCTAAAAAGTCTAACCAACGTCTCTGACTACTTCTTTTGCTTCCACCTTTTATTTTATTGTAGAAAGAGACAATTTGCTTCACAGTCTGTTCTAATAGTAATTTTTCTTTTTTTGATATAATAAAAAACTCAAAACTATCTAAAGCGTAATTTATGGCTAATGATTCTGCTTCTATGCTACTGATATTACCTTATTTATTTTTATTTTTTATAATTGTTGCTGTTATAACGACAAATTTTTTTGACGTCTTATTTGCATATTTACGAGTTTTACATAAAAGAATTGCTCTCTAACCTTTACTACAACCATCAATCTCAATTATTAAATAATTTGTATCAAGAGGTAAAGCCAACTCTGATAAAAATCTTATCTCATTTTTCAACTGCTGCACAAGTTTAACATCATATTGATTAAAATATTTTTGCCCATTTGGAGAAGTTTTAGCGTAAAAAGAACAGCTATTTTCCCCAAATTTTTTATAAAGGGTCTAGCATAATTTATCAATCCCAATTTTTTGTTGCAACTGCTTTAAATCTTCTAATTTATCTGGAAATTCAAACGCTTTTTGAGCAATATGAGATTACAATCTTATTTTCCCTTCTCCTATATTTACTTCCAAGAAGTCTATGTATTTTCTAAATAATTGCATTTTCTTTTTACTCAAAATTAACCCGTATCTTATAAATTCTTAAAATTGTAATTTGTAAATGACCTTTATGGTCTTTTTTATTTCTACTAAAAACTAAAATATCGTCTATATAAACTGCTACGAAGTTGATATGCTTATTAAAAATGTCTTTACATTTTTCTTTTGAAAAATACTTGGGGCACTTTTAAGCCCAAACGACATGACTAACCATTCGTAATGACCTTCTGGACAAGTAAAAAAATTGTTCATTTTCTTTTGTCTGGATGCATTTTTACTTGCCAAAGTTCTGATTTTTAAATCAAATTTGCAATTTTCAATATTATTTATTAAAACAGTCTTGTCAGAAATATTATAAGCATCGTGTATCATGTTATCATTCAACCTTTTATGGTTGATGACCATACGACTTTTTCCCTAAATTATTTCAGAATTACTTTTTTATAATAAAAACAACTGATCTATGAGGACTTCAGATTTTCTAACGTCCAATTTTATCAATTCTGAAATATGTATTTTAAAATCTTCTCTATCTTAATTTATTGACTCTATAATTCTAGTGTTTATCTTTTTCCCAATATTTAACAATGTCTTTCTCCATTGATCACAACTCCATCAACGGCTTAAACAGAATAAAAGGTAGCACACGGATCGCAATCGCCACCGTCCATCTTATTCCACAGCAACTCGCTGAAACAAAACTCTCCCGCCCAAAGCAAAAGATTCCCAAATCTTTCCCCCTTTATAAACCCTATAGAACCCACAAGCCTTCTCACAGATTCAAGAACCAAAAGGTGTTCATTTCAAGAAGTGGTTTCTGCAACAATGTCAGGCCGTGGTAAGGGCGGAAAGGGGCTCGGAAAGGGAGGAGCAAAGCGTCATCGGAAAGTTCTACGTGATAACATTCAGGGAATCACVAAGCCGGCGATCAGGAGGCTTGCGAGGAGAGGAGGAGTAAARAGAATCAGCGGTCTDATCTATGAAGAAACCAGAGGTGTGTTGAAGATCTTTTTGGAAAAYGTKATTCGCGATGCGGTTACTTACACCGAGCATGCGCGGAGGAAGACCGTGACTGCAATGGATGTTGTGTACGCACTGAAGAGACAAGGCAGGACTCTTTATGGATTTGGYGGATGAGATCCTTAATAGGTCCTTATCGTTCTGTTGAATTATGCTAGGTTTTCTCTTCCGATCATCTTTTGTTTTCGTAGTTATATTCTACATGAAATTGTGGTTATTGATCTACGAATTTCTGATCGTTCTAAATTTGGTATGATATGGTCTATGTAAATTGAATCTTCCGATCTTTAAACGCATTTTTAATCTGATTTACTGTTTTTGTTTCGATTATTGCCTTTCCATATGTAGATCTATCGCCCTTCTATTTTGTCGATGAAAATTTCAGGCGGTGTTTCAATCCCGAATATCAATTCATTCTCCGATGCTGCATCTGGCAACGTGAAGTTCTTCCTGATTCACGAGGTCAAAAGATTCCATTGTATTCAATGTTTCTTGCTTCAATTCAATTTTTTTTGTTATGATCAATGAAACGAAACCTGGAGGCTTCAATATCAAGGTGCATCAAACCTTGTAATATTATAAATTACATTTGTGAGGTTTTTTGGGGTTTTGATGTTCCAGCCTTCCATGTTCCAAGATTTTTCGGTTTCCAAAGGGTTTCAAATTTACGCTTCCAATCGAGATTTGGATTCTGAAGGTGGGTGTTGAGTTTTGCAGAGGTCAAATACCAAACCGACTATGTTCCTTTGTATCTTTCTCCATGGCCATGATCTGTTCCTCCCTTGTGGTCGCAAGTCATGTTTGTTTTTTGTGTTGGGTATCTGGTCCTCATCACTTTGTACTTGTTTGATGGTTCTACTCTACCAAGTCAAAGGCTTATTGGAGGTCGCGAATCAGATTTGTGTAGCCATGTCTGATTGATGAGGATTCTTGAAGAAGATGATGGTGGTGGTGATGAGCAGCAGGGGATGTTGATGAGATGAAGGGCTAAAAGATTGAACTTTACAATGTGGTTATAAAAGTTCGATGCAAGATCATGTGAATAAGTTGTAATCTTACCCGGTAAGAGCGATAATAAGGATGGAGTGTCTTATCCGATAAGTGATGGTGATGATTCTTACCCGGGTAAGCGCTTGCCTGGTAAATTGTTTTATAAGATACGTTTTGATATTTTACAATTTTACCTAATAAAAATAAATTATAGGGTAAGCATCTAGGTAAATGGCGCCTAAGTTTTATATCTTGCTCCATTATATGGGTAATTAGTGATGGGCAAATCGGCCCGGCCTGGCTCGTAACCGTTGGAGGATTGGAACCGGGACCGGCATTGACCAGTTGAGGGACCGTCGGTTATGCTCCGGTTATGAAATTCGTCGTTTTTCGGAACCGAGACCAACTGAAACCGGGACCAGTTATGGGACCGGCCCGGTCAATGAAAGTCAAACTAGCCGTTAGAAGTTAAACTAGTTGTTAGGGAAGGTCAAACTAGCCGTTGGGGACGAAAAATGACCGTTTTTTCATCTCTTCTCTTCTTCAATTGACTATAAATATGCATGGGAGTTCTAATAAATATACCAACTCATCTCATTTTCAAAAACGCAAAAAACGCTCTCCATTCTTGGTTTTTCGCTATATTTTGTGAATTTGCTGCGTATTAATTTTTCGTTTCTATTTCACAATTCTCGTTTCTTTTTCTTTGTCTTACAAAATGGTCGGTGAACAAGCATCAAACGAACAAGTTGTCTAAGTTCTCGTTGAACACGGACGAAAGTCCGAGATTTGGAATCGTTACAACTTGGTTGTTTTTACGACCGGAAAAAGAAAGACAAAATGCAAATTGTGTCAAGCTCTTCTTACGGTGAAAGGAAATTCTACGTTAAGGAGGCACACCGAAAAAACGTGCCTGGGGTTGAGGTCGGGGGGTGATTTAAGCCAACCGACACTTAACACCCAAGGTCAAATATGGTCGTATGATACCGAGTTGAACCGACAAATGACAAAACGATGTGTCATTTAAGTCGAGTTGTCTTTCGGACATTTCGACAACTCTCACGTTACGAAGTTGATTCAAAAGACGCTACAACCATGATACAAGCCGGTAAGTCGTCAAACCCTTAGACGTGATGCAATAAAAATGTGGAAAATGTGTCGGGCCGAAAGGCAACAAATGTTTTCCGATTTGCCTAACAATATTTCTTTAACGTGTGATGTATGGAGCACACCATACGGATTGCCGGTTTCGTATATATGCATAACGGCGCATTGGGCTGAGCATCCAACATGACTTTTATTCAAATGTGTAGTCGCGTTTGAACCGTTTGGTGCGCCACATTCGGGAGCACGTCAATTTTCAATTATTAAAAAATGTCTTGCATTTCATAATTTAACGGTTAAAATAATTTGTATTTCATTTGATAATGTTAGTAATAACAATTTTTGTGTGGAAAAATTAAAGTGTAATTTGACACCTATTTTAGACGGTAAATTATTTCATATATGTTGTTGTGCACACATAATAAATTTAGCCGTTCAATATAGTTTAAATACTTGTAAATCCGTAATAGATAAGTTTAGACTTTTGTCGCGGTGAATTTCACAAAAGGTAAAAAAATGAATGCGGCCTATAAAAAGTATTGCGAGGACGTTGGTTTTAGAGCTTTGGGACCGAGGTTCGATATGCTCGTTCGTTGGAATTCGACTTATTTTATGATTGAAAATTTGTTAAAACAAAAAAAATTATATTTTTGCTTTTTATAGACACCATTATCTACAAAATTCTATTGGAAATCTTGATTGAGCCGTGCTTGAAAGATTGTACGATATTTTAGGCGATTTTAAAAATGTGACAATACTTTTATCTGGAATTTATTATCTACCAAGCTATTTAGTTTTAAAGCAAATTTATATTTTGGCAAGTAAAATTGCCCAATATGAAGATCATCATGATTGTGGAAGGTTAATGTCTTGCATGAAAAAGAAATTGTTAAAGTATTTTATGAGCATCTCATTTGTTTTTCTTTGTGCTGCGGTGTTAAACCCGTATTTAAATATTTTCGGTGTTGAAGTTTTAATTACACAAATATATGTGGCTTTTGGTTTGGATACCGCTACGAATAATTCTTTTTCAATAGAACAAAAACGTTTGTTTAATCGTAATTTTCAAGATTTATTTAATCATTACAAACATTTTTACGGTGGAGGAAACCAACTACAAACATGTTTAAGTCGTGGTTTTGCAGGTTCTAGTTCTTCTTCTAGTGGTCATCGACAAAGTCGTAAAGAGTTGATGACTAATTTAATGAATGGGGTTTTAAATGAATCAAATAAAAAAAGTCGATATGATAACGATTTGGATGAACTAAATATGTATGTGCATACTAACTTTATGGTCACATTTCCCGTAAATGATGTCGAATATTCTGAAAAAAATTGATTTATTAGATTTTTTGAAACAAAAACAACTTCAATTCCCGATTTTGGCGTGCATCTCACGTGATGTACTAACAATTCAAGCTAGTACTATAACTTCGGAGTCTGTTTTTTCTCTTAGTGGCAGGATCATTTCGATACGTCAGACAAGATTAAGCGGAGTCCGTGGAGTGTTGCATCTGCTTGAAGGATTATTTGGATGGTGTTGATAGGATTCAACACACGACACCGTTAGAAATTGAGATTGAAGCTGTGGAAGAAAATGAAATCTCCATGGGACTAAGCACGACCACCAACTACCGATACCGATGACACTTACTCACAATATGACGATGATGAGGAACTCGACATTGATGACCTTGAAGACCAATAGGCTATCAGAAGAATTCAAGATACTAGAACTCTTCAAGTCAATCCGACATGGGATACCGATGTAGATTGATGAATAAATGTATTTTCAAATAACTTTATAATAATTTTGTTGTAAAACAATGTAATTTTAATCATAATAAAACATATTTTTAAAGTGTATTTGACTGACCCGTATTTTTAAAGTGTGTTTTTAAATGTATTTATAATAAAACGTATTTATAAACGTGTATATATATATAACAAAACGTATTTATAACAAAACATATTAAAAATAACATATTACAAATATATTAATAACATATTACAAATATATTAATAACAAAAAAAAAAAAAAACATTTTTTTTAATGGGCCGGGTAGGGACCGAAACCGGGACCGGCTAGGCATAACCGGTTATAGGTTGCCTTGACCGGTTAAGAGGATTTTCACCGAAACCGAAACCGGTTACATCAAGACCGGTTACTGCTGGTTTAGTCGTTTGTCAGGCCCGATAAGGACTGGAACCGGGACCAGTTACATCACTAATGGGTATACAATTACTATAAATATATTTTAATTTGATTTTTTCCGTATCAATAAACATGATGTATGTTTGAAAAGTCATGCAATTTTTTTTCCAACTCTTCTTTCAAACAGCCGCCTTTCCAACAAATTAAAGATGATGATTACAAATTCACAAGAAACCAACACAAAAATGTTTTGCTCTACAACATGCGTCATTTCTTTGGATTTCCTAGCAAACAAAAGGCTTCAAGTTGTCATGGGCGGAGTGCTGTGGGGGTCATAGGTTTGTCGGCTAGCTCGTTTTGTTGCTTCTACTTTGTTTCTGGGTTGTGGTTCGCTTCGGTGTTTGTGAGTCGTCGTCTTCTATTTTCTTTTCCTTTTAACGGCTCTTTTTGTTGTCGTCGTCCTTTTTTGGGTTTTTTCAGGTTTATTTATAGTTATGCGTCTTGCAGTTCCTTCAGACTCTCTTTTGTTTCCCCTATCTTTCTGTTTAATATATTTGTTTGCCTTTCAAAAAAAATAATTTACGAATTTTTCAAAATTATTTTACATATTTCATTTTTATACGGTATTAACGAGGATGTGTATACATATAAATTGGATTAGTTCAATTTTATTGGATTCTCGATTACCATCTAAGAATCGACCAATTCGATTTATATATTAAAATTTTGGATCCGATCCAACACAATTACAGCTGGATAATTTTGATTGAATTGGCCGGTTATAATTGGATCATATGACTTTTTAAACAACCTAATTAAATTATAAATGAACATTTATCTGACCCAGTGACTTTTTAAAAGAAAACATTTACTTTTTTGATAACACAAAATAAGGAAGTTGTATTTCTTTTGAACGAATAAATATTACAAAAAAAATACAATATTTGATTTATATATGATAGAGTAGATTACAAATTCCTCTCACGTGATTTCAGAACAAGTTTTTTAAGTCTTACGTAAGGGAGGGTGTAAATGATACGAGAACTCGTGAGCTATTCGAGATCGACTTGGTCAAAACTCGGTCAGCACTCGATTCGAATAGGCTCGGCTCAAACTTGAACTTGACTCGACATATTAACGAGTCGAACTACCCAATACTCGACTCGAAAAACCCGTGAAATACTCGATTTTATATATATAGTTAGTTTTAAAAATATAATCAGTTTTATAATATAATATGTATAATATAATGTTATAAAAGTGTCTTGTATTTTTAAATACTTAATTTTGTGATTATGAATGTTCATATTGTAGATCTAATCCAAGGGTTAAGAATTGGTCTTATGGGTCTCACGAAAAACCCTTAATCTCACATGATCCCAAGTCTGGTTTGCAAAATATATCTTTGGAATTTAAACTAAATAATGTTAAATGACCAAAATACTCTTTTATATCATTTATCAATAACTTCAATTATTGTTTTTATATTATTGAGGTTTGATATTTTTAATTTATTTTATTTTATACCTTAAAAACAAAGTAGAAGAGAACAAATGCGAGTAGACCCCATCAAACTCTGGATCGAGGGCAGAAGCAGTGAATGAACAAGTAGATTGAGATCGTAATCTAATCATCCTCCATCCCCTCTCTCATACCTAACACTGTCAAAACCCCAAGCCCTAAAGTTTAGGAGAAAATACTCGAAACTGCATCAACGATTTGCTGCAATATCAAATTTGTGTCCATGTTTGTGACGGAAGGAGATCAAGACGAGAGTAAGAACTAAGAAGAGAGCACGATCTTAGATGTGATGAAACGTGATAAGATTTACAGGTATTTTTTTCATTCTAGAACGGATTCCGAAGAAACAAATTTAAAATCTTCATCAACCCTAAAGATTGAACAAACAATTTTTTTTTGATTAACCTAGATATCCAACTCATTTTGCTAGCCGACTAATCCCAGGGCAACCCCCTGCTAGGGGTGCTCAAAAACCCGATGAACCCGACCAACCCAACCCGAATTTAAAAAAAAAACCCAACCCGAGGTAACCCGATGCATGATCGATAAAAAAATTAGTCAACCCGACCTTATTGGGTTGAAATCGGGTCAAGCCCAAAAAAACCCGACCAACCCGACAACCCGATGAACCCGACCTTAACTTTAGCTTTGAATTATAGATGACAATTATAACATGGCCAACCTCAACGTCAAGAAAGCGAAAGCATCGGGGTTGGAAACGTCTAAAACTATTGTTGTTGATTGATATATTATCATTTGGTTTAAACATTTTTATTGTGATATCTAAATATTTGATGAACTTGCATATTATCTTGAATGGTCGGTCGTATTTCAAAGGAAAGTTTCCTTTATTTTTATGTGATTTTATATTGTTTAAACATAACCCGATCAACCCGAACGGGTTGGGTTGGGTTGAACTTTTGTTTGGGTTGGGTTGGGTTGAAATTTTTCAAACCGCCAACATTGGGTTGAGTTGTTAAAATGACTCCAAACCGATCAACCCGGGCCGTGAGCACCCCTACCCCCTGCTTTGCAAGTAGTCCAGAGTCACCACTTTTGAACCTTCGTGGCCACAAGGGGATTTTGTTCCTTTTTGGATTTGAACTTGAGACCTCCTGACACTTTTGACCTTTGGAGCCAAGCTCAAATCAATCAGACACCACCCATGTGGTTGAACAAACATGTTTTTGGTAGAATTTAAAGATATTTTAAGGATTTGTTTTAAAGTACAATGAACCAAACATAGATTGCATGAGTGAAAAATCTCATCTACTCCAGGTTCGAATCTAAACGTTGCTAAAGCCTTTATGGTCATGAAGATTCATCTGCGATAAGTCTAGGTGCCGTTTACCAAACACTTAATTAGTAAGTGCTTACTGGTAAAATTCAATACTATCATTTACCTATCGGGTAAGTGTTAGTTTAAAAAAACGATAATGTATACAACAATTTATTCACCAACATATTTGTATAATAATTAAATTTTAAACATAATTGTTTTATTATTAAGAAATGAAAATCAAAATGATGAGATCCATTGTTTTATTTAGTATCGCTAGATACATGTTTTCTGTCGGTTAGTGCAATCGCTGACGTGGAAACGACACAGCATGGGCCCACATGAGACGCCGCCACCAGCCATATCACATGAATACATACACACCGTTGTTTCATTTCTTCTACTCCATTGCGTAGATGAACTGAATTCTCATTTTTATAAACCAATTATCCGTCTCCGGCAATGGTCGGCTCGATTTAGTCGCCGGCGGAGTGAAATCAGAAAGATACAGAGGGAATGGGGATGTCGTGGGAAGACGTGGTTCTAATCGAGGAAGGTAAGAATTCCGACGAACCAACCGTCGTCACGGTGAACTGTCCCGACAAGTCCGGCCTCGGGTGTGACCTAGTACGAAACGTTCTCGAATTCGGACTCTATGTTAGCCGTGGAGGTCAGTCAGCCAAGCTTCATGGAATTCTGTTGAATATTTGATTTCCCCCTCCCCCTTTTGTAATCTGTGCATCAATTCTAATGCTATCGAAGCTAATCTTAATGGTATTATGATTGATTCAGCACTTGAAATTGATGCAATCACCGAATGAATTGCTTAATTTGATGATACATCGATTTTCCCTTTCCATTTCTAGATTTCTCCACCGATGGGAGATGGTGTTACATCGTGCTGTGGGTTGTTCCACGCCCAAGCTTGCTGATAATCGATTGGGATGGCTTAAAGAAGCGGCTTGTAGCTTGTTGTCCATCATGTTTGCCTGCGTTTTATCTCAATCAGTTACCTGATTCTTCTAAACCACCTCCAATCTATCTGCTCAAGGTTTTCTCCCTCGATCGAAAAGGGTTAATCCATGGTAATTCTAACATACTTTCTCTTTCTCACTTTTGTGAAACTTCAGTCATGGTGTTCTTATATGAACTTGCAACTCCATAGATGTCACACAAGTCCTTTGTGAGCTTGAGCTAACAATCCAACGGTTGAAAGTGATGACAACCCCAGATGGCAAGGTCTTGGACCTCTTCTTTATTACTGATCACTTGTAAGTCTTTCTTGTTCTGTAGCATCTAGTTGCATTAATTCAATACAATAGATTGAAGAACCGGAAACAGCACGAGGCTAGAATTGGTTTTCTTCTTTGTTTACGACGACTCGACGAGCTTATGATTTCCTTGAAAGACTTGATTGATGTCAAGGGATGATTCCATGCCTGCATTGAACAGATTCTTGAATCACAACTGTTGATATCATTTATGATGTGAATTGATAAATTTTTGTGGTATCTTCTACTTTCGGCTCAATTGGTCGATGTGATCCATGCATAACAATCTTACATTGGCAAGAAATGGACCATCAAACCTGTATATTTATAGGAACCTCCCCTTTCTCTATACGGGCTTAAGGCTCTTTTTAGAGAGAACTCGAAGGGGTTCCACATTATTGGTATATTAGGAATTTGTTTGGTCATATGATGTGAGCTATTTGGTGACGTTGTGTGGTATTCAATTTACTGTAGGGACCTACTACACACAAAAATTAGAAGAGAAGAAACATGCACACATCTTAGTGGTGTGTTAGGAGAGTGCTGTATCAGCTGTGAACTTGAGTTAGCAGGGCCGGAGTACAAAATCCAGCAAGGGTTTTGTTCGATATCAGAAGCAATTGCTGATGAATTGTTCAGCTGTGAGCTTTCCACCAGAGAAAATCGGTCACAAGCTCTCAGCGCAGATGTCTCAAATGTTAAGAAGGCTGTTATAACTGTGGATAATTTGATGAGCCCGGCTCATACCTTGCTTCAAATACAATGCCTTGATCAGAAGGGTCTAATTTATGACATCTTAAAGATCTCCAAGGACTTCAACATCCGGGTATACTCATCTTAATTTGCATTCGTTTTATATAGGCCACGAGTTATCAAAATGAAACGAAGTTCGTCTTAATTCCTATTCTCCATCGTTCTCGTTCACGTTCCCATTCCCATTCCATGAAATGAACTACGTACCCCCTAATTGAATTTTGTTTTGTTGATGAATAGCATACCTTGTTTTTGTTCAGATTGCATATGGAAGAATCTCTACTAGTGTTAAAGGGTACCGGAGTTTGGACTTATTCATCCAGAAAGACGATGGGAAGAAGATACTCGATGTGGAGAACCAGGCTACTTTATGTTCGCGGCTAAAGGAAGAGATGCTACATCCATTGAGAGTGATGATCACGAGCCGTGGCCCTGATACAGAACTGTTGGTTGCTAATCCTGTCGAGCTCTCTGGGAAGGGAAGACCACGTGTTTTCTATGATGTCACGTTCGCATTGAAGGCGCTTGGGATATGTATCTTCTCGGTCAGTAGTTTATCTTACTCCCTCTCACTTTCACAAGGGTGGTGCCTGATTGGTTTGAGCTTGGCTTCAAAAGTCAAAAGTATCAGGAGGTCCCAGTTCAAATCCAAGGAGGAATAAAAATCCCCTTGTGGCTACGGAGGTTCAAATGCTGTGACTCCGGGCTATCTGCAAAGCAGGTGGTCGCCCTGGGATTAGTCAGCTCGCATAGCTGGTTTGATATGCCTCAAAACACCAATCAAGTGCATAAGAGGATTGCATTTGTAGAGCATCTGTCACTCCCTCTGGCTTTGGCATGAAGATGGAAACAATTCCCTTTTAGGATGTCCCATAAAAGCTACTCCCTCTGTAGCTATGTCCCAGCATAAATATCCACAATAAAAAAGGAACCAGTTCTAGAAATATGTATTTATTATATTACTTAACTAAATGACAATTTTACCCAAGGGAGTAATGAGTTTCTCCATCTCAATATTAAGGGTAGAATTGGAAAATAGGCACTTACTTTTGAAAGTGGATACTTATCTTGGGACAAACTAAAATAAAATGTAGCCGGATATTACCTATTTGCCCTCTCGTTAGAAAGATCAATGCTTTTTGTTTATCCTTCTGGAAGGGTATTTTTGATATTTGACAATAACAGACTGATGATCCTAAGTTTCATGGTTATTAATTGGTTGTCCATAGGCGGAGGTTGGAAGACACTCGACATCAGACCGTGAGTGGGAAGTGTACAGGTTCCGATTGGATGAAACCCGAGGAGTTCCTTCAACGAGCAACCGAGCTAAGCTGGACATAGTTGATAAGGTCAGAAGAACACTTATGGGGTGGTGAAATCAGACCACGAAACACTAGTTTTAACCATGTAATATCCGTGATCCCACAACGGGTATTGTTAACGTTATCCTTGACAAATTGTTGTGTATCCGGCTTCAGCCCCATGGATCTGCATCAAGAAGCTCGGTATGTTGTGCTCTTTTACTTCTTTTTTGTTGATATTCTGTAGGTAATTTGCAAATTAAATTTTCAACTTGAAGAATGTATATGGGTTATGATATCTTGTTCTTGGTCTCCTCGATGGAAAGGGTGCTCATGGGTTGGGTTTGATCGGGTTGAAGACATTTGAACAATCCAATCTAATGCTTGCGATTTGAAAAATCTTAACCCAACCCAACCCAACCCAAACCGTACGGGTTGCTCGGGTTGGTCAGGTTGATACTTACGTACATTAAGATATTTTTCTAACCTTGAATATGTTATTTTTGTACTTATAATTTCTTTTTCATCATCAACCATTTGATACAACTTATCCATACTTCTTACGTATACAACATTCAGTTAATTTTCTCAATCTACATATATATGTTCACAGTTACTGAACATATATACGAAAGAGTTATATAGAAATGTGAATAGATTGTAAATATGTGTACATGAAGAGCGTACGTGATAGTGTAATTGTCTAACGTATATATTAATATAAATTTAACAATCATATTGAATTCAATAAATAAAAGAATATCGGATTCATCGGGTTGGGTTGGGTTGGGTTGAGTTCAACTAATAGTAACCTAATATCAACCCAATACCTACGGTTTGAAAATTTTATAACTTGATTAGACATCGGGTTGCTTCGGGTTGAGTTATTTCGCATTGGGTTGAGTTGGGTTGGGTTGATCGGGTTGGTCGGGTTTTTGAGCACCTCTAAGTGAGGTCTGTGTACTCTCCAATGTTGGCACTTTCCAATCTTTTTGGAACCCCTTTTACACATGTACCAAGACTATGGATTGACTTGACGAATAGGGTAAATTGCATGAAAAAATAACGTATTTTAACTTGATTCATATTTTGGGTAATGTACTTTCAGAACTTCCATTTTGGTACCTAAGATGTAAAGTTTTAAACATTTAAATACCCGGGTAACCGGTTGAAACATTAACTGGCGGTTACCATACAGATGTGGCGATTGATGTGGTATCCAACTCGACATCATTTGTTGTTCTACAAGAAATAGAAACCTAATCAAAACACAACCGAAAGAAAAGAAAATGAAGGGGTTACACATCCCTACCACGAAGAACAAGCACGGCCACTAGCAAGCTAAACAAAACGAAAGTTACAACAAAATGCGGGAAAACCGTAACCACGGAAAAAAAACAAGTGATGAAAGAGGTCACCGTCGAAGCCTTGACCGCCACACCAGTCCGACCAAGAAATAAAGAACGTCTTTGAGCTTTCGGAAACCCGTTAGAACGATAATAGTTGAAATTAGAAAAGTCGATCAATTTGATGGTGAGCCCCGCTAGAATGGACCATTTTGTTTCGCTAATTCCATCTTTAAGTATAAAGTAGTACAAACCACGACCTACCACAACTTCCTTTTCGAACTTACTAAGGCTTGAGAATCCGTACATATCAATAGATCTTATGGCGATAGTGTCAACAGATGGCTCCATCATGAGACGGATCGTCTTCATAAGGATCATGCATGTTTTCTCCGGGATCATAACGTTCATCATTTTCATTATAACCCCACAAGAACAAGCCACCCGGGTATGAATCCAGATCACTACCAACTTGCAACCTACCAATTGAAAATGTCATTCCACAATAGTTTTTAAAAGTTGAATCCTAATGATATATGATATAAAATTTTCTTTATATTTAGGTAGTCTGAGTCTCGTTTTCATTTTCGTAGCACTTCTCTCTATATATATTTTTCTTAATTCTCGTTCTCCATTTACATGCTATTGTTATCATTAGGGGTGCTCAAAAACCCGATCAACCCGATCAACCCAACATGAAATAACTCAACCTGAAGCAACCCAATGTCTAATCGAATTATAAAATTGTCAAACCGTAGGTATTGAGTTGATATTGAGTAACTATTATTTGAACCCAACCCAACCCGATGAACTCGATATCCTTTTATTTCTTAGATTTAATATGATTGTTGAATTTTTTATTAATATGTACGTTAGACAATTACACTATCATGTATGCTCTTCATTTACACATATTTTCAATATATTCACATTTTTATATAACTCATTCATATATATGTTCAGTAACTATGAACATATATATGTAGATTGAGAAAATTAACTGAATGTGATATACATAAAAAGTATGGATAAGTTGTATCAAATGATTGATGATGAAAAAAAAACTATGGGTAGAAAAATAACATATTCTAGATTAGAAAAATATTTTAATGTACCAAAGTATCAACCCGACAAACCCAACTAGGTTGGGTTGGGTTGCACTTTGGTTCGGGTTGAGTTAAGATTTTTCAAACCGCAAACATTGGGTTAGGTTGTTCAGATGTCTTCAACTCGATCAACCCAACCCATGAGCACCCCTAGTTATCACTACAACAAAATCAAATTTATAGGACCCTAACAAATTCTAAGTGTCTCAATAGACAGTTTTATAAGACTTATGGTCCGTTTACCAAACACTTATCCGCGAAGCGCTTACCGGTAAATTTAACACTATCATTTACTTACCGGATAAGATTTTAGTCCACCAAAACGGTATCATATGCAACAATTTACCCGGTAAGTGCTTACCGTGGTAAGAGTTGACGCTTTCACTTACCGGGTAAGACTCTTAGTCCTTGTCTCGCTCTTACCGGGTAAGATTCTTGCTCCTTACCATATTCATCCGGTATGGTAAAATGACTTGATGTTCACTTACTCGAGTAAGCGTTTGGTAAACGGCCCTTTAATTGTATAAAACTAAACAATAAAACGTCATATTCAAAAGGTGTTGTAATAAGTTTATAGGACGCTTTTGGATTTGTTAAAAAGTTTTTAGAACACTTTTAATGCAAAACAATGTGTTAGCCATTTTATAAGGTGCTTTAAATAAACAGCCTATCTGCCTATGAACACGTATTTTTATAAGACTCTTTTAAATAATGTCCTGTAACACAATTAATACGACGTTTTTATAAAAAAATGTCTTCAAAACTTGTTACAGATCCTTAATACTAACTTTATAAGATCCTTACTACTAACTTTTGTTTAAGTTGTTCCGTTAAGTTGGAGATATTTTCGTATTTTTATATTTTTCTTTGACTTTCGTATAAAATTTATGTCATATTTAAAATTTAATATTTGTTATATGTATATCTATATTATATTATAAAGCATTTGACAAAAACTCTTAAAAACTATTTTTTATACATAAAGTACTATTTATTGATGCATGTTACTTAAAATTTAAGATCACAAGTAATTTAATAAATTTTATATACTTGACATACACACAAAGACACGCATACATATATGTAGTTAACTTATTACAAATTTTAAAAGCGTTCATTTTATGAACATGAGGTATATAATAAAGATGAAGTTGACTGACACTCCACGTACACGTCCTGTGAGTATCGCTCGTGCAAAAAAGATAAATCTATAATACATGCATCTCGACTTAAACTTATCCAAACGAAATCAAGTACGTTATAAGTCAATTTCTATGTAATCTTTTTTGTGTACCATTATTTCAATTAAATTAACTTAATAATTTATATTATTTATAAAATTTTCAATGAATATTTTGGGTTCTACGGAGTTAACCAAGATTGAGTTCGAACCATAGATGCCAGAAGCGGATAACATTAGACTGCTATCAGATATAAAAATATATGGATAATCAAGACTATTATCATGTTTTATTAATTTTTGTTATGATGACATTTAGTGATAAACTTTGGTGATGATCTTTATTTATATTTGGTGTGATTACATTTGGTGGTGATATTTGGTATTTTTTGTCTATTATATATATATATATATATATATATATATATATTTGATGTGATTACATTTGATGATGATATTTTGCACATGTAGGAATTATCAAAATGACAATTAAATAAATTTTAATATCCAAATAACAAATAATAATAAACGAGAAATTATATTTTATTTATTTTATGTATATTTACGGTGTAAAATAAGGATTGTTAATGAGGATGTAGACAATGAAGGTGACAATGGTGTTGTTACACAAATTGATCTAGATTTGAAGATAAGTATGTGTAGTATATGGAAATGGAACTAACTTTATATTATTTATGTCTTTGTGATGTACTCATTTATAATATACTAGTTGTGTACCCGCGCAATGCGGCGGGAGCTGTGAATTTTAATGATTTTGAAGTTTCACTGATTATATTACAGAAGATTTAACGATGATATAAGTTACACTTGATCTTTACACATTAATACAATTTGAATAAATAAGAGTTATGTTCCAATTATAGTCTATCGATAGAAAATTTTGTATGACAGTTTAAAATCCAATATATTTAAAATTCAACATATTTAAACGACTCAACAAATGTGTTCACTTTACACCGAGAGCAAATAATCAAGAGATTGAAAGYGAGACCGAGAGTTATAGAGCAATTAAATCGGAGAACTTTTAATAACTCATGATGAATATTAGTTTGAATCTCACACTAGGATAGGGAGAAGACATAGATGTATGAGAGAGTGAAAGCATGAGTGAAATGTGTCAAAAGTATCTTAGAAACATAAAAAGAAAAGGTAATAATGTGAATTGGTAACTTGCATTATATGTTATTTTAATTGTAGATTAAGAGATTGTAAGACTGAATGCATAAAGTAGTAGACTTAATGCATTATGAGTTGCTTTTACCAAACTTTTAAGACTTTGTGCATAAATGTATAATATTTTGTGTATTAAAAATTATTTTTAAGACTTTTGATAAATCTGATTTATAGAATAGTATAAATAAGATGATAAAAGAATCCAAATTTGGGAGATGACATCCATATAAAAGAATCGTCCCTATTGTTTTGAAATTTCGTTTTTCATTTATATAGTTTGTAATTTATTGTTGTTTTCGTCTCTAAAATTAAATCTATTAAAAATCTTTCATTTAACTTGGAGATATTTTAGTCTTTTTGGTTTATTAAAACCATATATATTTTTTATGAATATCAAGGATGTAATACTCTTTAGAGTAACGGTCCTTATAAATGGAATAGGTAATAAACGATTGGCACCCTAGGATCAGTG